TGGGACTGGAACCTGGGTCTGTCCTGATGAAGTCACGGCTCTTCTGCTTGATGCTTGGAGCACTGGGTGCTATGTAAACCAGGGCATCACCTGCTCATGGGTTGGGACAGGGGTGATGTGTGGATGGGAAACCCTGAAGGAAAAGACTGGGAACCAGGGCTTTCCAGCTGGGTCCACCCGGCAGCCACTGGCCTCGCACTCAAGACTCCATTTATCAGGTGGCACTGGTGCGGCCCCAAACGTGACATCACCTGTTCCTGCTTTGCTGCCAGGCATTCAGGGACATAGGGAAGGCTGGGCTTGGGGCGACTGAGGGTCCACCCTCCAAGGAGAGGGCAGCTGTGCCCATCCCAGTGTGTCTGTGGAAGAGGCACAGCCAGTGAAACTGCAGGCTGGCTGGTCCAGAGCCTGCCCTCCCTTCCAAGCCCTGCAGGCGTCCTCATGGCTGCGGGGGCGTGTCCTTCGCACGAAGGTTAGATTTGCATCGCGATCTCTTGAGGGAGAATAGGTTCCTAAATGATATTTCCACTGAGTGTGTAGGAGGGCGTGTGTGGGCTGCAGCCTGGGTGGGGACACAGGGCTAGCTATGCCTTCCTTTCACCAAAGAAGGGCTTTAAACTACTACAAAGAAGGGTTTGCAAATCTGCTGGAAAAAAATAGATGCTTGAAACCAGTCCAGGTTCCTGGATCTGCAGCTGCAGTGACCTCAGTCTTTGCCTTTGCTTAGTCATTCAACAAACATTTATCTCCTCAGTGCTCTGTGCGGAGATTAGTAGTAATGGCAGCTCCTGTTTTGTCACCTGCTTACACATTAACATGTGTCGGACACATTAACATGGCATCTATCACCCTGCCCTCACAGCAGTCCTGCCAAAGGGCTGTTGCTAGTGTCCTCATCAAGGAGTGAGGCACAGAGGTTGACTCAACCAAGGACACCCAGCAGGGACCAACGGGGATGTCAAAGGAGACTGAGAGTGGCCAGCGGCACTGCTCAGACAAAGGCTCAGAGGCCTGGCATGTCTGGACATGTGCTCGTTAGTGTGGCGGGAACAGGGTCCAGGATCAGGGTGGCAGGGCTAGGGTGGCCAGGAGTAGAAGGGGGTCCTGATCGTGGTGCAGCATGTCTCCCGGAGGGGACTGGGGCACGTGGAGTGGTAGCAGGGTCAGATCTGAGGCTGTTGTGTGGAGATCAGATTGGAGAGCCCAGCAGGAGCGGGGCCAGACAGGAAGGGACCAGCGGTGGCCCTGCACTGGGGCGGAGGGGCAGCTAGGAGGGACCAGAGCAGGTAGGCTGCTGCAGGGGCCCTGCCGCCTGCCTGGCCACACTGTTCACTCACTCAGATCTCAGGCAAGCCCAGGCCTGGCTGCTGATTCTTCTCCATTAATACCAGTCAGGATCTCTGCATTGGCGGAGGGGCAAGAGGGCTAAGGACTTGGATTACTTCACTCCTCTGACTTAGACACTGGATTAAGTGGTGAGCACTTCAGAGTTAATCCACATGCAGAGCTGAAATCAGTGTCTGACAATAGTAGATACCAACATCAGCCAGGATTGTAAGACAGGCAGTGCGGGTTCTTGCCTAGAAAAGGAACCCTATTAGCTTGGGACCATTATCCCTGTTTAACAGATAAGGAAACTGAGGGTCTTGCCCAAGATCTCACTGCAAGTGAGTGGTTGGGTTAGGACGTTAACCTATGATTCCCCTGCCTGTTGGGAGCATCAGTGCAGGGCTCAGATGAGCACAGGGAGAGGGGAGTCTAGTGTCTATTCTAGGCCAGCTCAGGGAGGTCCAGAGGGGTCTGGGGACCCACATGAAGGTGCAGACACAGATCCTGCCCCCAAACAGTTCAGTCTGGCTGTAGCAGGGGCACCACTCCACTGCTCACCCATCCCTGGAGCTGGTCAGACACAGCGAGGGCCTCAACCCCAGCTTGGCCAAGCTGCCAGTAGTCACTGTCCCTGTTGAGGCACCTGCCCCTGTAGGATTCGGGCCCCTCACCTCATTTGGTACCCAAGGTTCCTAAGGATTCTAGGCATGACTACTGGGGAACAAGGGATGTTGGGACAGTAGGTCAAGGTGAGGCTCAAGCCATGTGCCCAGAAGTACCCCTATGGCCTCTTGCCTGTGGGGGAGGCAGGGGTTTCAATAGGAGCAAGAGCCATCTCTGGGAAGAGAACAGCCCCTTACGGGGGTGGGGGTGGGGGGTTTGTGGAGGGGTAAGGGAGCAGGGAGACAGATGCAAATGAGGGCTGGGGCAGCTTTCCCTGGGAAATGGCTATTTGCATAGACACCCTTGGGCCTGGAGCCTGAGCTTCTGGTCACAATTCCTTAAATGCCAGCCTAACACAAGTTCAAGTTCACATGGCTTACAAGCTATGCAATGTTACAACCTCTGTCTCCATTTATCTGGGTCTTTTAAGTCCTTTAATGGAGTTTAAAATGTTTCTCCATGAAAGATTTTAAGCATGCCACCTTAACATTCATTCCTGACCAACCTTATGTGTCTGCAGTTGTATTTATCGTTTACTGTATTTTCTGGTTTTCTTGTAGAAAGCTATTGATTTTTGTATCTTGGTCTAACTTCCTAAGACACGTTGACAATTTTCTCAATATAAATTTAACTGAAGTTAATTCAAGTTGTCTAACCTTTTGTGTTGGTCCCCCCTCCCCCCGCACTGTGTTGTCAGTGACCCCGGGGGACCTGGGAGCAGGGTTTGTGACCCTGGCTCAGCAACCCCTGATTAAACGTGGAACGGAGGAGGGTCACCCTGGCTGCAAAGATGGCTTCAAACCACACTGATTTTGTCATCTACTCTTTTTCTAAAGTGTTCTCAAACAGCTTTGCATCACAGGTGGGTTTAGAGTCACCTCATAGCTTTTAACTGATACCCAGCCTTTCCTAGAACAAATGTGTGAAGATTTAGGCTCCCAGAGTGAGAGCTGTGCTGGCTGTCTTAGGTTGTTAACAGCCTTTTAGGGGTCTTAGAAAAATCCTCTGTATGTGCGTGTGGCCTGCTGGTTTGGGGGTGTCGCTGGGTCGGGCCTGCAGGTGCCCTCAGCAGGTGGCAGCACCCTTCCCCCCACCCCGCCTCAGGTGCCGGGGGGGGGGCACCCTCCCCCCACCCACCAGGTCTGACCTGACAGCTCCCTTCAGCCCACGGGGGAAGGTGCTGTCCTGACAGGTGCGGGTGGCATATGTCAGGCCGGGGCTCTTTTGTGGCCGTTGTGGCTGTGTTTACACGTCTGATCTCTCCAGCCCCAGCTCCTGCGAGCGCTGCCTTTCACGTTGAGCTTTCATCTGGAACAGATGTAAAACTGTTGCCCTCCTAGGAGACTGAGACAGCCATCTCTCTTTGATATAAATTCTGGGCACCTATTCTCTCTAGAACAATGTTGTCCTTATGTGGTGTCCTTTCTCAAAGGCCAGAGTGCCCCAGACCCCCAAATACCTGTCTGCGCCCTCAATGACGTCACATCCATCTCTGCATGCAGTGTGGATGCATTGTTGAGAGTGACCTGTCTAGACTCGCCCCGAGACACCTGGAGGATCCAGGAAACTCACTTGTGTGCCCACGAGCCCCTGCCCTGTCTCTGCATTTCCAGGCATCACCTTTTAATGCTGGAAGCACGTGGCCAGTGCAAGCTCATTTACTCTATGTCCCCTCACAGGGTGCCTGTGTGCATCCCGCCTGCAGTCCACTTCAGGGATGAACATTGGTCCACCCTGGCCTAGGTGGGAACAGGAGGCTTGGGTGTAAGCCAATTATTAATAATACTAATTATTGTAAGAATAATGGATTGAAGTACAGAGGTCAGAACAGTTAAGTGCCCGCTCCCTACGTGTTCCAGGCTCTGCTCAGAGTACTTGAAGGAGAGTCATTTAATCCTCAGACAGCCTACAGGGAGGCTACTGATACCTTACAGATGCCACGTTCTTCGTTATATTCTGGACTTAAGGCTGTTTGATACAGTGTGGGGGTAAATTATGGTGAACAGGGTCGGAGTCCTACCCAGCTATCACACATGATGTAAACATTTACTGAGGTGAGAATTCACACTTGTAAATAGGAAGACTGGCTGTGAGGAACAAGAAACTCAGTGGTGATTTGAACAAATTGGTTTTTTCCTTACGCAATTAGGCAGGCAGTGACTTAATATTTTTTGGGCTGTTCAACAATGCCATCAAAAAGCCAAACTCTACCTCTGCTCTGTATTTGATATTCTTGTGCTCAACACTTCTGTAGCATAAAATGGCTGCTGCAGTTCCAACCCTCACTCCTATGTTGATGGCAGCAAGGAGGAAGAAGTCTGTCTGCTTCCTTTCAACCCCCACATCAGACTTTGAGACCTCATTGACCAAAACCGGGTTACATGCCCACCACTAGCTACAAGGCATGCCGGGGAAGTGGGAACAGGGCTCAGAGGAACACCGATTTAGGGCCACCCCAAAGAAAACTAGTTCTATCAGCAAGGAGCCAGGGGAGTGGAGGGGTGAGCCTTGCAGAAAGGAGGTTATCATATTGCAACAATCTTTGTAAGAACCACACAAATAAAATTCGCTTAAGAAGACCAAAAGAAAAAAGGTTCTTGAAATTTTTGAAAATATTTGTGTGATGTGTGTGTGTTTAGAAACTGTCAGTATCCCTGTGGGAACTGGAATTGTGGATGACTTCCTCTTTAGGTTTATTTTTAGAAGCTGGCTTCTTGTGCTGGTCAATCCCAAGAGAGCCTGTATTACAGCCTTAGATCTGTACACCAAGAGAGACGGCAAGGACCCCTATGAATCATCAAATCCCTGACTTTGGGGATGTATGGCAGAGAAAAGAGAGGCACGGTGACTTGGCCAAAGGCACACAGCCAGCACAGAGCAGGATGCACGCCAGAGGGACCTGGGGTGGAGGTGAGGTAGGGTGAGGTGGGAGATGAGGACAGGTGACTAGTGAGTGAGACCCCAGATTACATACTTCTGGGTATCCAGTCTGTGTCTTTTTCCTCCAGAGAAGAAATGTCTCAAGCAAGACCTGTCTCTAGGAACCTCTTTTTTTTGTACACCTTCCTGCAAAATCATGGCCCTGGCTCCCTGCACGAGCAAGTTGTGGGGGTTCCCGGCGTGACGGTGACCGATGTCTTGGAGTTCGATCCTGAGATCTCCCCTGACCGGTAGGTTCCAGTGGCCTCTGGGCCCCACCCACCCCCTTTCCTGGCCAGTGACTGCTGTGGGCTGGATGGAAGAGCCTCTGGGTTCTCCAGGCCGGGCTCCAGAGTGGAAATTCCCCAGGTGTGGTCAGGAAGGCAGGTGCCCTGCACGGGAGATCTGTGCTCTGATACCAGCTCACAGAGGGACCCCCAGAGCACCCAGCATGTTCCCAGTCCTGGGCACTGGCCATCAAAATGGCCTTAACACTGGATGCCTCCCGGCCCTCATGACCACGATCACCTCAAGGCCTCTGAAGAGATGGATTCAGTGTTAGAAAACTAGGAGGCCACTTGAGGTGCAGTTCCTGGCCCTGGCTGTGCAGGCCGAGAAGAGGGGGTTCTCCCAGCGCCAGGGTTCCCTTCTGCTTTAGGCCTCAGGAATCTCTTTGCCATTGGGTCCTGGACTCGAAGTTTGGGCTGATCAGGATTTGGGGGCTGGAGGGACCTAAAAGTCTGCCTCCTTCCCCTCCATGCTCCATTTGTAGATGACAGCAGGGGACGTTCAGCCCGGGGCGTGTTTCCTGACCGCAAGCTCCCATCTGAATGCCAGCCAGCCCTCTAGTGCGCCGCCCCCTAGACTGGGCAGGTGGCCGGTGCTAGGCTGGGAGGGGCTCAGAGTCTTAGCCGCTGGGAGGCCTATCTGCCTGGGGATTCCCGGCCAGGTCACTGGGATGGAATGTGGGCAGCCCCACCGAGAGCAGGGCTGAAGCTGGCCTGGGGTGTGGAGGGGCCTGCTGGACTTTTTGATTGGGTGGGAGTGCATACCTCTCCATTTCCATCAAGGATTCATTCAGTGAGTGGGGGGCCAGGTAGCCCCTCCTTTCTGAAAAGGGGTGGTGACATCGGAGGTTTCAGAATTGAAGACCAAGGAATAGGTCCCCGCGTCCCTCCGCATGAGGAGGGTAGTGTGAGGCCCCCGCCTCACTGCTCACCTTTCCCACCAAGCCCACCAGGTGGGTGGCCTCTCCCAGGATTCTCCAGGGCGCTCATTGTCCTGGGAGGGGAAGGAGGGCTGCATCCAGGAGGCTGACTGCTGTTACATGCACTGTCTCCCTGCACTCCCACAAGAGGAGCTGGGACAGGCTCCTGTCCGGCAGCCCCCTCCCCGTGGTCCAGGACCCGCACTCCAGGGAGTCCACCGGTGGATGGGCCCTCACTGGCTTCTTCCGAAGCAAAATGGGAGCCAGAGGAGGGGAGTTTGAGAGTTCCTTGCCCCCACCTCGCCCAACCACCCCTTCCCCGACTTGAGCCTGTAGGTCACCAGCACACCACTCCCCTAGTTCCCCTGTGGTCTCCCCACAGTGACAGCCTCCACGAGTTGGCCGCGCAGCTAGCCTCCACTGCCGATGACATGGAGCTGAGGTTCGTGCTATGCCAGTTTGCTGAGCTGCCTTGGATGGTCATATACAGGTGACAAACCCTTGCTAGCTCAGGGCCCCTACAAGGATCTTGACTTAAAATGATGGGTAGCACTGAGTGAGCCCAGGTGGAGCTGTGGGCCCAGCTGTGCGGGCGGAGCCGTCTGCGCGGGGTGCAGCGGCCCTGACCTGTCAGCTTCCCTGACCTGCCAGCTTCCCTGCAGGTTCTCAGGACCTCACAGAACTGCCCAGGTGAGGACAGAGACTGCACACTCCAGGACCACGGTGGATGTTGGTCTCTTTGTCTCCAGGAGAAACCCATCCTTTTGAGGAGCCTGGGCCTCTCAGAGCAAAGCTCCTCCTCCTCCCCTGGACCTGCCTCTGTGGGCCTGCGGGCAGCGAGCACTGCCCTGTGGCGAGCTCTGGGACGCAAGTCCAAACCTGTCTGCCAGCTTGTGGGGTGGGGGGTGGGGTAGGCCGGAACTCAAATGAGCTTAGGGCCAGAAACAGTCCATGGAGAGAGGCCGCCATTGGTGGAGGCACCCAGGGAAGGGACAGGGTGGCAGTGGGTGGGAGCGGACAGGCCCTGTTCTCCCTGCAGTTGTCACCTAAAGTAAAGGCTCTCGGCCCCTATTCCTGCAGTAATGGCCCTGCTTCCCTCCCATTTGTCTTCCAGCTTGTTTTTCACCTACAACCAGACAGGCCTGAGAGATGTTTATAGAAGTTTTATGTATGCTCTCACTAACCTTAGGGAGAACAGAAGGTTCCGGAACTTCCTGGCCGGCAGGGGCAGGGTAAGCCTTGAGATTTCATGACCTTGACTTCCACTCCTACAAGTTGTGACAGCTGTGGACCCGCTGCTCCATAGGGCCTACCCTCTCCAGATCCACAGGCCCCACCACTCCCTATTGTCTTGCCTGCGTGCTTCCCCCATTTCTACCTCTGGCCTCTGGGTGTGAGACTCCTGGCTTACAGACCATATGCCTGAATCCTTGAGCACCTGTGCTGTGCTTTCCCCTCTCCCAGGAATTGCTTCTTATCCCAGGCGGTTTCCTGACTACTCCCCTCCCCCCTAGCCCATCACCAGCCCCTCACACCAGTTCATTCTATCACACCAGTTCCTGGCAGACCAGCAGCCCCTTGTGGGGTGTCCTCAGGGCCACCTTCCTCACCTGCCCTTCCTGTGCTCCTCATCTTTCTGGCCAGCTCGTCCTCGACCCCTCCAGTTCTGAGAGGTGCCCCTGTACCCCCGGCCTTCCCCATCACCACCCCCTCTCACCTGTGCCTGGCTGGTCCTTGTGTCCATGGAGCAGGTGCAGGAGGCGAGTTGCAGTGAGTGGGCCTCCTGCAGACTGGAGGTCCTCACTGGTCACGATCTTCATCCCACAGGTATTCCCCGGCCCGTGGCGCGAGATGGTGCTGTCCCTGCTGCTGGGGGTGCTGCTCAGCTGTGGGTGCCGCCTCGTCCACTGACAGCTGCCTGTCGGTGTGGGGGCAGGGCTGGCCCCTCCCCCTCGACTACCACCCTGGAGGTGGCCTTGTTGGTTTTGTTGTCTTTTTAACATTTCCTGATGACTTTTTTTTTAATTTAAACTCTGAGTGCTGGGACACGACTGAGAATCATACTAACTTTTTGTACGAGAGATGAATTCATTATACCTCTGGGGCTGTTACTGGTTAACGCGCCCGCTCTCCTGGCCCCAGTCTGCCTGTCCTGAGAAGGAGCCTTCCTCTCGTGGGTGGGTCAAGGAGCCGGCAGCGGGGGGAGTGCTGGTCACACCCCTGTGTCTGTGATGCCCGTGGCAAAAAAAAATCTACTGGAATAGATTTCTGTGGGGTGAGGAGAGCTCAATAAAATGTTGGTTTCCAGCCAGTCTCTGGTCCTCTCTGGGGGTTTGTGGTGTGGGCTGGGTTTGCCTGTGGAGGGGAGGGAAGGGCAGGGCGTGCTCCTCGCCACCTGTGCGCCTGCATGCATCACACCGCCTCCTGGCTCCTTCCCACACCTGTAAATGCTGTCATACTGTTTGGTCCAACACAAGCTGGTTTACTTCCTCCTTGTCACACCTTAGTGCCTGAAGTCTACCATTAGAGATTATGTCCTTCGGGCTGTCAGTGCCTCCTATCATCAGGCTGCTCGCCTTCCCCACGTTGGCTCATCCAGCACTCCCTGCTGGAGAGGTGCAGTCTGTGGATACTCACACAGGTGTGGTGGGGAGAAGGGGCTGGGCCGGGGGCAGGAGGGCCAGGTCACCCTTGCTGTGGGCTTAGCCCACCCCAGACCTGGACCCAGTGCTGTTTCTAGACCCTGCCAGCACCCCCCCCCGCCCCCGGTGCTGCATCTCTCCCCATCCCCAGTCCCCTACCTCATGCACAACCCGGGCTGGGGTGAGCCACCTCCTTCCAGCTCTCCGCCATCCCCATTCTATCCCCCTAATCCCAGATCTTCTGCAGCCTCATCCTCCTGCCCGCTTCAGGGCCCAGGTTTGGGGAGCCTTCCCGCCTCCAACTTAGCCCTAGGCCTGATCCAGCAGGTGCAGCCGCCCCCACCTTCCAGCCAGACTGATCAGACCCTGCCGCCTCAAGACTGTAGGAAGCACCTGCCCCCAGGCTCTGTGCCGCAGCTCCCCAAGGTCTGGCTCTTCACAGCTTTGAAGCCTGACTTCACTCCCTTTCCTGTGTAAGTTGTCAGTGTCAGGCCCTCAGAACCTCACAGGGTGAGCCCAGAATCTCCCCATTCCCATGTGGTTGCTGGGATGCTCCACCACAGCAGCCTGCTTCATCTGGAGACTTTCCATCCCAGACAGACAACCCCTCCCCAAGCTTATAGACCTGGAAGTGACCCCTGGGTCACCCTGTGTGTACTGATTCCAAAGCCAGGGCACTCACTATAGAATCAGTGGCTAAGGTTGTGGCAAGGCCAAATCCAGAGGCACCTCTTCCAGGAAGTCCTCCCTGACCACCTAGCGCCCAGCTTGCTCCATCCTGAGCACTCAAGATAAATTGCCCACCCAACTATGTACCCACGTGGATGTGGCCAGGGGTGCTTGTGGCTTTTCAAGGAACTTGGGGCTTCAAGGAAAGGGACTGGAAACACTTTATGAGGTCCCCAGGTATAGCTGATGCTGGCTGGGAAGTGGCCTCGCCCTGCACTAATTCGGGGGGTACTTCCCTCCAGGATCATCCTGTCCTGGGTTTGAGTTCACAGCAATATTAGAAATCACTCTAGTCCCAAAAAAGAACCAGAGGCCTGTCCCTCACAGGTTGAGGGCAGAGATGCCATGTAGTCACTAGTGCCCCCTCCCCATCTCCTGCAGCAGCTCTCCAGGAGGCCCCGGGGCCCGGCAGACAGGGGACATGCAGCCACTAGGCCCTGGGAGCCTGTTGGCTGGGAGGCTGCTGGAGGCAGTGAAGCACCTTCCCAGAGGAGGTGACAAAGCTGGGGGTGGGGCACAAGAGGCCCCACCATCTCTGTCCCTTTCAGAGGCCCCTGGTGTGGTCAGATTTCTGGAGATGAGGCAGGATCTGAGACTCTTAGGAGGTGCCGCCAGAGAGCGGTGCCCCCTGCAGGCAGACCTGGGGAGTCAAGTGGCTGGGAAGAAAAGCAGGCCAAGGATCTCCACTCACGGGGGATCCAAAGATGCGGTGGCAGGTGTGAGTCCCACTTTGGGGTGGGCCAGAGCCCTGGGACCACGGACAGCACTGGTCTCTTCCCAAGGGGATAGGAAATCGCCGAGGTCCTGCCAAGGAACAGGATGTAGGATCCACCACAGCCTCCAGGCCCTCACCCCAGACTTGGGGCCCGTCCCACAGCTCCCTTCACTGCCCCACGCCTGTCATTCATCCAGATTCAAAGAGGGCAGGGAGAGGGCCCTCCCACCCCCAACCCAGGGCTCCTGTAGGAGAGGTGGAGCCCTGCCCACCCACCCTCCTAGCCGGCAGCCCCGAAGGCAAAGAGCCCAGAGGAGCCGCAAGGCCTGCAGGGACCACCCGCCCACGCCACCACTCCAGCTCCCTCACGAGGGACGGCGCTCCTCGGAGCTGCCCGCAGTGCAGTGCAGCCAGACACTTGAAGCCGGGACCGTGTGGAGAGCTCGGCCCCCCCAGGCTGCCCGCTACTCAAAGCTCTCAGCGGAGGGGGTTCCAACAGACTCAGCAATTATTTAAAAACAGTAACAAAGTTCTTTGCAAAAGTTTCAAATTTTCTAAAACAAAGTTTTAAGACATAGTTCTTTCTTCATTTTGCTCCAAAGAACACACAAACTCAGGCCATGGTGGAAGTGGGGTTCAGCGGTAATGTCTGCAGTGTTCTCCACTGTGGGAGGGTGGGAGGGAGGGCCGTGGAAACGTGGGGGCGTGTTTGGGGCCACAATGCTGAAAGTGCTCCTGGCACATAACGGCTGGGAGCCGGGACAGCTGCCCACAAGAGCGGGACAGTCCCACGCAACGAAGACCGGTTCTGCTCAAAGGCCAACAGGGCCCCTTAAGAAACAGAATCAAAAACGAGAAACCCTACCCAGGGTCTGACATGTGCTTCACAACAGGGACATTTAAGGACAAGCTCAGAGATCTCACTCCCTGTAAGGTTTCCCCACTGTCACTGAATCATGAGAAAACCACCCAAGAAGCTTAGAAATACTCGTATTTAATACTGACACCAGGGGCTCCTGGTGTGGAGCAGGCCCTGGAGGGTAAGCCCCGAGGGTGGGCCTGTGTCAGACTAGGCCCCGGGCACACGCAGGCACTCAGTGACCACGGTCTGAAGGGAGGACCCTCCCCACACCACTTCCGCCTTGCTAAAGGGCCCCTCTTCCCCACCAAGGCAGGGGCCACCCACTCCCTGGCACACAGCAGGCCCGTAATGCTGTTAGATAAGTAAACATGTGGGGGACTGGGTCTCCCAGCTGCTAAGTGATGGGGTGGACAGAACGGCGGCCGAGGCCCACCGGGTCCTAGCGCCCTCTGGATTCAGTGACAAGGAGCTGACGTTTCGGCTGCATGTGGCCAGAGCCCCCTGGCCCCAGCCTGCCTTGTGACCATGCCGTCTGCCCACAGCACCCACACGGCAGCAGGCCAAGCCTTCTCAGCCCCAGGACGCAGCGGCAGCCAGGCTGTCTCAGCTGGCTCTGCAGAGCCACCACCTGAGCTCTCGGGCTGCGGGGGTCTGCCCGAGGCAGAGCAGGCGCCCCCTCAGGCTCCACGCAGCTGTCATGGTTACAGCTTCTCCCCAGGCATCTAAATATGTTCCAAGTGGGGAGACACGGACATGCAAAGGAATACTCATTTTCAGTGCTTTTTATGTGGCAGTCAAAGCACTTCGCAAACAGTCCCTCCCCATCACTGGGAGGAGGGGGCCCAATAGGAAGGCCAGGCTGGGCTCAGCCCCCTGGACCCCCTTCAGTCACCCCCCTCCCAGAACCTACTGGTTCTGGTCCAGGTTCTCGTCAGCCTCCAGCACCTCAATGTGACTGTAGGACTTCCAGGCCTGCAGGTTACAGCTCTTCAGGATGGTTCCCAGCTGCCTCCCAGGTCCCACTTCAAAAGTTCTGGGGAACTCGGTGCCTCTCTTCCTCTGATAAATGGTGTGCATGGTCTGCTCCCACTTCACCGGGGAGACCACCTGCTGGACCAGCAACTTCTGGATGTGTTTTGGATGCATGTATCTGTTCCCGTCGACGTTTGAGTGGACAGAAACCAGAGGCTTCTTGACATCAATCGCTTTTAAAACCTGCGCCAGGGGCTCCACGGCCGGCTGCATGAGGCGGGTGTGGAACCCACCGCTAACTGGCAGCATCTTGGTGCGTCTGAAGTGATACTTAGAGGAGTTTTTCTGGAGAAACTGCAAAGCCTGGAAGAAAAACAAGGGAGGTGAAAGCCAGTCAAATCTTAGGGGAAGAACACAAAGAGAGGCGGTCCCCACTGGCTGACATCACTGCAGGCAAGCACACAGTGTATGTTTATCTCTACACACGCACACCCATATTTCATCCTGCACAGTCGCCAGGTCAGTGTCCCAGAAGCCCTCCTCCAGGGACCTGACAGTTCACACACCCGACACGGTGCCTGGAAGAGATCTGAGGCTTAATGTGGGTTCTGTCCCAGCATCTTCATTCACCAGCCCAGGTCCTCAGGCAACCTCTTTGAACTTTTTCTCCCACCATAAAAATCTGCACAATTTCATCTACTTCATAAGATTGCTGAGAAGTGAACAGACAGGCAGTGTGAAAGCATCTGATAAACAAAAAAGCACTCTAGTGTAGTTTTCAATTAGAATTCTGCCACCCTTTATAATTTTTTAAGCCTGTTTTCTGGTTCACCTATAACCTTCAAGATGAAAATTATGCAGATTCTAAGCCTCACTTCACAATGTGAGATCTTTCCCATCAGAAACCCTTCATCTGGGGTTTCTCTAGAGAAAACAAGAGCTCTTTCCCTGAAGCCAGAAGCCTTCCCCTAAAGGGAACGTCAGCTCCAGAAGGACCTCTGGGACCAACAGGTCCAAACTCAGAACCACTTGCAAACAAGGTTATTTCCAAGTATCTTTAAAACAGTATATATTGCTAAGAGACGCTGTGCCCTCGGAACACAGCCCAAGGACTGTCACCTTCACAGCCCTCCACCGCGATCTGCCAAAGGCCTTCCTACGCACTAAACCGTCTGCCGCATCCCTCCGACCCGATGCCATCCACGGCCTGCTCGGAAGCTGGGCCAGCTGCTCCTGAGGACTTAACAGTCAGGGTAGCTGCATGACCTTGGGCAACTTCACTTGACCTGTCTGTGCCTCAGTTTCCTCACCTGTAAAATGGGGATAACAGTAATAGTTATCTCACAGAGCTCTGGTAAGAACCATGCTTGACATACAAGTGCTATACGAGGGTGAGCAATTGATATTATCTGGTTACCAAGCCCATCCGTGTCCACTGGGGGAAAAATACAACAGGGTAGTTATTTGTGTCCCGAGGGTAGGAGGGTTTAATACTCCTGGCTGGCTGGCACTCGTTCATCCCTCTTTGGGGCCCCTCCTTGCAGGGGGTGTACCCTGTTGTCCAGGTGTGGCCAGCGCAGTCCGTGGCTCACGACAGGTCACTCGTCAGCATCCCATACCAGGGCCACTCAGCCGCCTGAGCGCTGGGGCGAAGGTGTAGTGGAGCAGAGCCCAGCACTGCGAGTCTGGACCACGCCTGAGGTCTGGGCTGTCTGTCACTGCAGCAGACCTGGTGTTTCACATGCAGTACCATGCTCCATCCACGCCCATCACACTGAGGGACACGCCCAGGCGCATCTCTGAACAGAGGCCTGTTGGACTCCACAGCCCAAACCCTTCCCACCACGCCTGGATCCTCCTGATCAGCGGCACCTATGGAGATAGCTCTGCAGTGGCACTCCTGCGTCTGCGTCCTTCCAGCGGTCTCTTAAGTGCTTTCCAGGGACAGTCTCTAGACTCATCCAACTCAAGTCCCAGGTCAGGGCCATAGGAGTCAAGGCTATAGCCTCAGGGCCGAGCAGGCTCCTCTGGGGCTGGCTCTCAGCCCAGGCGCGGGTCTAGCAGAAGCCAAGTTTTTCCACAACCACTGTTGGAGGGGGCTCTCCTGCTCAGGGGACCCTGCCCACGCCTGAGCTCTTTGCTGTGGCACTTCCAAGAGCACCAAAAGGCCATCCCTGGGAACCCCAGGAGCTGTCACCTGGACCAGATTCCCACCTGTCTGGGAGCCTGTGCGGGAGACTCCTGCCCTGACTGGGGGGCCCTCCTGGCCCAGTTCTGGGCTTCTTACCAAGGCTATGAGTAGGAATGAACACCCAGCTCCACAGTTAACGGGGGCCACTGGAGCCCATCCTCCCAAGTGAGAACTGCACCAAGAGGGACTCACTGGCTCTCACTGACTCAGAGGAGATACCGAGGGACGTCTGTACACCGGTCAGGCCTTAACAGGGAGATGAACTCAGCACTCGAGTGGAGGAAACACAGATTCCAGAGAGAGACGGACATGAGCTCTCATCCTGCCTCCAACATCACTAAGCACTTGCTTTTCTCTGTCTCAGTGTCCTCGTGTAGACCTCCCTCCCACGGAGCACAGGACTGGCTGTAAGGACTGGAACAGACAAGACGTGTAAGCATCGGTCCTGTCTGCACTCAACACTCCCCACTGGGCACCTGGGACAGAACTGCCCTTTCGTCAGGTGCTCCTCTCTGCCTAGGCTGCCCCTGCTCTCGGCAAACTCATCCTCCAGGGACCACCTCTGTAGGTCCTCCGGTCCTCAGCCTGACCCTTGCTGTGCTCCGAAGCCTGGAGTCATCTGTTCCCAGCCAGCCTTCCTTGGATGGCAGGAGCCCTGGTTATCCATCTGTGGGCCCTCAGTCCCTGTCACATAGGAGGTGCTTGAGAAATGATGTCTGGGGCAGCAGTGAGTGGAAGGATGGACAGAAGGAAAAGGTGCAAAAACAGACACACAGGAAAAGCAGAGCAGGGGAGAGTAAGCCAGGAGGCAACAGCTCCTCTGAGGAAGCAACTGGATCAGAGGATCTGAGAAGCCCAGAACATATTACAGGAAGGCCCTGGAGACCACCTGGTCCACTCTCCCCGCCTCCCGCCTCCCTCTGCAGTGCTCATTCCAGCACACCTCCCCACGCCCTCAGTTACTTCCCAAAGACCACGGCTGGGCAGAGCCCTCGTTATACTCTGTAGGTTCATAGGTGTGGAATGATTCCAACCTTCTGTACTGAACTGGGGTCTAGGACGGCTGCTCCCGTCAACACCAACCTGCAGATGTCCTGAGATCACCTTGCAGTCAGGAAAGAGGTAGCTGGACACCTCGCACACAGGGTCCTCTATGCCCAAAGTCCTACAGTGCTCCTGGGCTTCCGCACAGGCGATGGTGAACCTGGACTGAGGCTGGCCGAGGACAGACAACATCCCACTGGGGACAGCTTCTGAGGCTTCCTGCATGGACTCAGCTCGGACTTTCACCGCATACAAACCTACCCAGAGAGAAGTGCATTTGGAAAAATCAAAGCATGTAATGGAGGGAAGCCCAGACCTGAAAAACAAAGCACAAATTCCAGTTGCTGGAGACACTGATACTAGTATCTAGCACCAGTCCACAAGGCCACAAGTCTACATATCTGTGTCTACAATAAAACAGATGGTACTGCCATCATCAAAGGGCAAGGTGCTGTCCTTGTCACAGTACAAATTAACCCACAGAGCTTCCTGCCTTAAAGCTGGCTTGAGGGGTGGAGGGTGTAGCCTAGTGGTAGAGTGCATGCCTAGCATACGTGAGGTCCTCGGTTCAATCCCCAGTACCTCCATTAAGTAAATAAACCTAATAAACTCCCTCCAACAACAAAATTTGTAAAAAATTAAAAAAAAAAAGCTGGCTTGAGATGGGATGGTGGTTCTTAACCAGGGTTTATTTCACCCCCAGGGTGGTGTCTGGATTCTCCTGATTGTCTAACTGGCGGTGGGGGTGTTACTGGCATCTGGTGGGCAGAGGCCAGGGATGCTGCCCAACACCTTACGATTAACACGCCCCGCCCCCGCAGATAAAGAGCACCTGGTCCAAAATGTCAACAGTGCTGCTTCCGAGAAACCCTAGTGCAGAGTAAAGCGGAACAGATTTTGAGACACACTGCTCTGAGTCATGACCTCGTTCCAGATCAAATTTTTAGTTAGTAAAATGAGGATAATATTTAACCTGCGTGGATTGTAGTGAAAACTGGGAATTATTATTTAAGAGAAATCGTGCTGAACATGAAAAGCAATTACAAGCCATCAGACACTGGGAAAGATGTACCAACTACAAAGATAAGAATTTCAATAATATAGCTATCATAAATCAAGCATTAGGGCCCTCACTTAGAACTGGAGGACCTGCTGCTGCCAAGGCAGGGGAGCTAAAATGCAGGGCTTCTGGTTCAGTGTGGCTCAAGCGCAAGGTGAGAGGACAGGGCTGTGCCCAGGCCTGTAATTACTGGATATCCGTCATCCTGTCCCGGGTCTGCTCCCTGGAGGGGCGGGAGATGACGAAGGAGAGGTTAAGAGATCAGTCCAGGTTTGACGGGACAACAAGGCCTGAGGAACGAACCCTGAGCCCTTCCTCCCTAACACACCTCCACTCGCCCAGCACCGTGTATGTCTGCACTGGAGTGCTAGCCCCTCACGCAAGGACAACTGCGGAGCAGATTCAGTAAGAGCCTGTGTTGGGAGGTAGGCCAGAACACACAGGAATGTGGAGAGCCTCCCATGTGGCCATTAAATAACTATGCAAAAACATCAAGTGAAAAAAAACACAGAATGTCAATAATTCTGCAAATTATGTACACATAAAACTATATTCGTATAAAATTGTTTTATTAGAATGTGAAAATATGAAACCTTTCCCACTTCCTTAATAGTGCTATGCTTTTTAAAAAAAACATAAGGCAGTGAAATTCACATAAAATATAACCAATTTCAAGTGTATAATTCAGTGGTATCTGTTGTATTCATCACCTTGTACAACCACTAGCTCTAGTTTCAAAACTTTCCATCAGCCTATAAAATACGCCATGCCTACTAAGTAATCACTTCCCATTTCTCCTTCCCTCTAGCCCCAGGAATCTCTAATGTGTCATCCCCATGGATTTATGTATTCTGGACATTTCATGTAAAAGGGATCACACAATATGTGGTTTTTGTGTCTGGCTTCAGCACGTTTTTGATCTTCATCCACGCCGCAACATGAGTTATTTCCTTTCTTTCTATTGCTGAATAATATTCCATCAGAGGACAGGCCACAACTTGTCTAACCATCCATCTGATTATAGGCATTTGGACTGTTTCCATCTTTTGGCTCTTATGGATCATGCTGTTATAAGCACCTGTGTACAAGTTTTTCTGCGTGGCCACATGTTCTCATTTCTTAGGTGTAAACCTATGAGTAGCACTGTTGGGTCACGAGGTAACTGTGTGTAACTTTTTGAGGAACCGCCCAGCTGTTTTCCACAATGGCTGCACCACTTTATATTTCATAAATGTGCAAGGCTCCTGTTTTTCCACATCTTCACCAATGCTTATTATTTTCCTTCTTTGCTTTGCTTCTTTAATTAAAGCCTGTTTGGTGGATGTGAACTGGTACCTCACTGTGGTTTTGATTTACACTTCCCTCATGACTGGTGACGCTGCACATCTTCTCATGCGCTTACTGGCCCTTTATGTACCTTCTTTGGAGAAATGTCTATTCAAGTCCTTTGTCTGTATTTAACTATAAGCAAAAACGTTTACCTGTTTTAACTACATGCAAAAATCTTAAGTGAAGTTGATATGGCTCAAGATGAAACATTGATTTACTCTTTTTCATTTAGTGAGTATCTACTGAGCACCCACCACGTGACAGGTGCTGGAGGTATGTGTGGACTAAGCATGCACAGGAGCAGTGGGAGAGACAGAGGAGCAAGATTTGACAAGACTACAAAAAGAAACAGTTCCCTGATGGACCCCCAGGCTTAAAGGAGAATCAGGAAGTCTGGCCCTCAGGTTCCAATGTCATCTCACCCATGTGCTCCCTTCTCTTTCACGCCTGAGTAGGTCCAGAATTACCTGTGGCACCTTGTCCTCAGTGCGCCCAGCAAGACAACACCCCATGCACAAAACCAAACCTCTTCCTGTGTACCTTCACAAAATTCCATGGCTCCGGCAAACACTAGGGCTGCAAATTCTCCCACACTGAATCCAGCAGCAGCAACACAGTTCTCAATAACCTGCAGTGACAGACGCAGAACGTGAGGCCAAGTTCTCAAGGGATTTTAGCCCAGGGCTCTGCACTTCAGAGCTGATAGGGTATTCAGTGGTTCAGTGAGCTGGCCTGGTGCTCTAGCTACAAACAGACACACAGAAGTGGTCGTGACAATCACTGATTCAGCCCCTTTATTGGCAAGGCAAGTTAAAGGCTGGTGGACTCTATGGTAGGGCCGTGACTCCAACCCAGGACTGTAGATTCTCTCACTTCTGCCCTGGAGCTGCATCTCAGGCCAGTGGACACAGAAGGTGTCACAGAAATTAAGATCATGGCTTTCAGAGTCACTGGATTTGATTTTTAGCCTGAAAAAGTTCTCTAACCTCTCTAAGCCTCAGTTACCTCCTCTGTGAAATGGGGAAAGAGCAGGACCGACCTCACAGGGCTGATGAGAGTATTTCATGGAGAGAATATCTCTAAAGTGCTCAGCACAAACTTGGCCCAGTAGAAGCACTAGATGAATGTTATTATCACAATTCAACAGGACCACTTAAACTAATCCTTTAATATCTCTGAGTCTTCTTTTCTTATCCACAAAATAACAGTACTTACCTCACAAAATTATTGTGAGGAAGAAACGGGGTAAAGTACTAACTTAACATGGACTGTTTTGATATTAAATATTAATAGCAATCATTTCACAACTTCAAGTGATATTTTTAGATATCATCTTCTCAATGATCCTTCCTTTAAGGATGAAGTTTAATCCTTCTAAAATCATTTAATAATTAATTAAATGAGTAAGGATCATTTAAATTCTCAACCCGGCCGTCCATTCCGTAACCCCTTTCCCTGCTCTATTTTCCTTTCTGTAACACTGATCTTTAATACACTACGTAATTTACACAGTATGTTCACACTCTATTATCTATCTCCCTGCCCTAACATGGCAGGGATCCTTGTTTTGTTCACGGCTGTATCCCCTGTTCCTACAACACTGCCTGGCCCAGACGGGAACTCAGTGAGGATCTGCCCTAGAAGTCAGACATAAAGCAACACTCCGGCCTGGCAGGTGGGAGCCTTGGTGGGGCAACGGCCTGGCTGTAAGAGATCGGACAGAACCCATCTTCCCTGACCTGCCACGGGCCTCAGGCCTCACCGTGGGCTGCAGGTGGTTCAGTTTCTCGACGGCGGCCAGTGAAGCCACGAAGACAGCGGGCTGGCAGTGCACCGTGCGGTCCAGGGCCTCCTGCGGCCCGTGCAAGCTCAGCTCCAGCAGGTCGTAGCCCAGCACGCGACTGGCGGCGGTGTAGAGCTCGCGGACGCGCGGGTAGCGGAGCAGACCGCGGCCCATGCCCACCACCTGGCTGCCCTGGCCCGGGAACAGCAGCACGGAGCACTGGTTCGGCAACCGCCGCGCCGCCACCTGCTGGGACCCTTCCTCCGCCGTGGTCGCATCTCGCAGCAGCTCCGCCACGTCCACCGCGCCCGTCGGAGGCAGCGGGAAGTTCGAGGCGC